TTGCTGGGCATCGGCGAAATTTGCACGTGGAGCTATGGGGAGCTATGTTTTGCTAAATAAGTCGTTCTTTCGATGTTTGGAGATTTTGATGTTTGATATGATATTTTATATTTAAATAGTAGCAAAACACAAGTTCCGGGAAATTACAGAGCATGGTATATTTTGTGATTTAAGAAAGTGAAGGCAACAGATGATCGGGATTATCGAACCGCACAACTTCATGACTGACGGTCTTTTTTCGGCCAAAAATTTGAGGGGGAAAATGACACCCGCAACATGAATCAGTCTCTTCAGCCGCTGGTTAAGAAGCAAAGTTTATCCATTTGTAATCTGTACATCCAAAGTTTATCCATTTATAATCTGTATCCGTACATCCATTTATAATCTAAGAACCACCACTTCCGCAGTTTGGTTCTCGTAGCCGTATCTTCCACAACTTACTCATTTATTTTGCCCGCAACAAATCTCCAGCTTGCTCATCCACACACGAGCGATTGTGCCTCACTGTTGGCCACCTTATGCATCCATCTGTTCTAGTTCTGTGATAACTGATATTGCCCAGGATACAGGTCAGCTCTCTGGCAACTGTTATCTTGCTATCGAGCCATCAGTACAGAGTGACCACCAGAAATATTGCATGTTAAGCCAATGATGCACTGCGCTGTTATCAGGCTGTTACTCAAAATCTTCTCCCTCATTTGTTAACACAACATCCCCCTTCCCTCCCCTCCCCCGTCCTTATTGCAATCGGGAAAGCATATATCTCTAAGGTTATTTTGACAATTTGTTCAACTACAGTTAAGCAGTGTTGCACTCCCCTCTTCCCAACCCCCGGCTATGCAGATGGCAACTTTTCCACGTTCAAATGACCAGTGCAGAGGATCGCTTCATCATTAGCATAGCCCAGTCTCTGTAGTTTATTGCTTCTTTTGAAAGAATTACCAGCTCCGTGATCCTCCAGAAAGAAGCATTTTGACAAATAAAAGCGTTAATATTCCTTTTACACAAAACCTGTTACATCGAAACCCTGCACAGTGCTTCAATACCACACTCCAGTGCGGTGTCATAGTGTTTTAGTATGGAAGCACTCTCTTTTTCAAATTCACATCAGTGTGTGTGCTCAAGAACCCGTGAATGTCTCATGATCTGTTGTTAACGCGCAGATTTCTAATTCAACAGCTTTTTTCTGGTTTGCAGCATGTGTTTGTAACTTTCAGACAAACCTTAGTTCACAAACACACTTTAATCTATCTTCATAAGTATCCTAAAAACAAAGGCCGAGATTAATCTCGTTCAACCAATAAAGCATACATCAAACAGAAGCAGTAAAAAAAAAAAACAGAGGCAGTGAAATATGAGATGTCCAATCGGACGGACACACACAAACCCACGCACGCACACGCACCCACGTGCACGCACATACATA